GGGGGGGAGAAATCGTATTGGCGGACGGCGACATGAGAGCACGGATCATAATCACAGTACCGACACGTTTAACTCGCGAACTACCGGGCGCGAGTAATCACCCTGAAATAAACGAGACAGTTAATCGACGAATTAATACCTAATTTCTCATAAGGCAATGTAACTTTATATTTCTGAAAATCATCAGTCCTTAGTTTGTCATTCTAAAACACTAGCGACCTTCTTCAGAGGGGATTAGGCCTACTTATTTATTTGCAGGTGGGTTTTGAACGCAAGCCAGTAAATACATCAATAAAAGAACACGTTTAGGATTCGTGACCAGATAGTCTTGTAAATTCTTGAAAGCAGCAGCTATACTAATACCGACATATTTTCGCATATGATCCTATGCAACAAACCAGATCGAGTGACTTATAAGATTATGGATTGTGGAAGTTATTGTTTTGATGGGACAAATCCGAATCGTGTCTTCAGAAAGAGTGACACATGTTCGCCCAAATCTAATCTTTAATTTTCAAGGATAATCCTCACCAGTCGATCGAGCATCCTCGGAGGAATGTTCTAATTAAGAACGCGCACGACTCTCTCTCTCTCCCTCATGTACAGTCTCTCCCTCATAGCAGGCCTACAAACACACACACACACACACACACACACACACACACGTTTGTTTCTGTGAATTGTGGGGACTTTCCATAGACTTCTATTCCTCAAACGATATTTTCTATCCCCTAAACCTACCTCTTACAGAAAACCTGTTTGCATTGTTACTCTTTAAGATAAACATCATTTACTATTTACTATTTTTAATCATTTTTTCCATCGTTTTCCCGGCCTGCGGTCCCCACAATGTAAAAAATGTCAGGTTTTACTATCCTTGTGGGGACATTTGGTCCCCACAATGTAGCATAAACAAGTACACACACACACACACACACACATTCTTGGAGTTTGCCGTTTACTTTGGGCACATCTTGAGGGATGAAGGAAGAAACCTGTTGGAGGAAAAAAGGGGGAAAAAGTCAGAGTAGACTAGACCAGGTGAATATCACCTTGACCAGGCCATCATAAACTAACTGAGAACAGCAAACCACTTATATCTTTTTTTATTTTTTTTCAGCAGGCATATTCTTAAGGATTCCGACATCTCGGCCTCCTCTGACTCATCTTATCTCTACAGGGAGGTGAAATCATCCACCCAGGTTTAAATAACCGCAGAATACAATCTGCTGTCAGACTTAACCTCCAGCAGATGGTAAAGCTCCAGCAGAAATGATTACATTTGAAAAAAACAGGAGTTCCTCGGCTCTCGACTTCTTTTTAATTAACGGGGAGACGGATTAGTGCTCGGCTATCCGGGATCAGCCGTTCTTCAACAGAAGAATACAAATGTTTTTGGATAAATAATCCCCGGCGCATTTCACGGTGCCCGTCACATTAACATGCATTACACGAGCCCTTAAACCCCGTTTCATCCGCCGGTTTATTGTCCACGGGGCGCGAGAGTGCCATTACTTTCACCACAAGCTCCATTTAAACTCACTCACGGTAGCCTTGCAAAACCCCTGTCTGTCTCTGCTGAATACTTTAGTAAGAAATGAGAGATAGACGAAAAGAAATGATGAGAGAGAAAGAGATGGCCTTTGTACATCTTACATCAATAGAGAATAAAAAACGCAGGGACTGAAAAGGATGAAATCACATTAACAAAAGACACCAGAATGTAAAGTCTAGACTCATACACAAAGTTTCAGTCTGCTTTAAATAAAAAATGTAAAGAGAAATAAATAACTGATAAATGAAGCTGTATAAAAGGCTGCCAGTAAAATATTAAAAAAATAAATTTGGGAAATTTAGGGAAATGACAAAACTATCATTAAACATAGGCTGCTTATGATTCTTTGTTCTATTCGGTTGTTAGGACTTGATGATCTTTGTGCTCCATCTGCTGTTCATCTCGGGGTGTTACAACAACGAGGAGTGGAAATTAAATCTAATTTGTATTGCCTTTTCAAATAAATGTAAAAATGGCATTATAATCATATTCGTTTATGTCTTACATCTTAATTTCACGTCGATTTTATAAATTAAAAAGTAAAAATGTAGACATACGTTTTCAAAAAATGCAAGAATTTAAGACATATTGAGATTTAAGCTTCATACCGACCCTCATAGCCTACCAAAATGATTACAAATCATTGACTGACAAAGGAGCAAGTTTTCGTGGCATCAAACATGAAAACGTTAGACTGAGCCCGAGGATCGATCCACGGTCACCGGCGGCCCTGAGAGTGTGATTTAATAACAATCGGAAGTAACCACTGAGCTAAACCAACGCGAGAACTTCGACTGAAATCGTCTTTAAATAGTAAGTAGTTTAACAGCTTATTACAAACTTTCAGGCGACAAACACGAAACAGCAGATGTGTAAAAGGAGACATAAAATATCAAGCCGATCTATAATAAATACATTTTAAAGTTTTAGTTTTGAACATATAAACACGACAGTTTACTTGTTTGGAGTTTCAAACATGATCTTTGAGCCCCATCTGCTGTTCATCTCGAGGTATTACAACAACGAGAAGTGAAACTTCTGTTGAAATTACATCGAATATGTATTGCTTTTTTTCAAATATAGGTAAAATAGCAATAGAATCATATTATGGCAATTAAAATATCACCTGTCTTACATCTTGATTTTACGTCAATTTTATATAGGCTATTAAAAAGTAAAAATTTAGGAGTGCAAGAAGTGAAGGCATGCTGAGATTTAAGTTTCATACCGAGCCCTTATTGCAAAGTGATTACAAATCACTGACTGATAAATGAGCAAGATCTCATGGCTTCACATACAAAAGCGTTGGACAGCGCCCGTGGTTCGATCTCCGGTCGCCGGTTTCCCGGCGGCCATGAGATGGTGATCTTTCAGTCAATCGGAAGTAACCACTGAGCTAAACCAACGCGAGAGCGAAACGCCTGAAAACCGACTTTAGCTCACAATGAGAACCTGTCAAGTATCACACTAGCCTAGGTTCTGTGGTTACAAGTAAACAGTTTGCTATTTCATTAATTATTTGAAAAGAAACATAAAATATAGAGGCAATAGATATCGTAATAGGCTACATTTTATAGCTTTTGTTTATAACATCTAGCCTGAAACACAGAAAGGCCAGCCCTGACCTGACGTTTAAAATACTTTTCTTTTCTCTTTTTTACTCAGAATCTAGTTATGAGATATACACATTGGGACAACTAGCCCCGATCTGCAAAAAGAACGCCTATGAAAATGGACTTTAACACAAAAAAATCAAACCGACACACAAACGCGCACAAGTTCACAGCAGAAAACGAAAGTAAACAGCGTTCATTCTAAACAGTGAACTCACAAAAAGCCCCACCCACAAATTAGGCCATATGTTAGATCTGATCTTAACCCATAATTTGCAAGTTGATGACGTAACTGTTAGTGAAACTAATTTCTCTGATCATATGCCAATCCTTTTTAAGACTTTTATTGCCATCCAACCTGTTTATCTAGAAGACTCTTTGTGTTGGTCAAGGAGACTAAGTAGTACCTCCAATGTTGAATTTTCTGCACTGTTTAAAACAAAATGTAATATATCTATGCTGGAAACACCTCTACAGCATTTAAATGCCGATGATCATTGGATTCTATTAAAATCAACTTGTGAGGACATCTTAGATAGCATTGCCCCACTAAGACCTACAAGTCATAAATTAAAGATAAATCCTTGGCTAAATGATAATACCCGTGTCCTTAGAAGGCAATGCAGGCAAGCAGAGAGAAGATGGAAAAATAGGTTTTTGAGCCTATTACTTCGACTATGCTGCAGGATATTGTGCAAAAAATGAAACCTACATTCTGTGCAAATGATTTCATACCTAGTCGTTTGTTAAAGCAGACCTCTGATTGCGTATCACTGAGTTTAGCACATCTGATCAACAAAAGTTTGTCTAGTGGAATAGGTGGAAACGACCATATTTAGCTCAGGATGAAATGCAGAATTATAGACCAATCTCTCAGCTGTGCTTTGCCTCAAAAATCTTAGAAAAAGTTGTATTGCCACAATTACTCTCATTTCTAAGCGAAAATTCAATAGGAGAAGGGTTTCAATCGGGGTTCAAAACAGCCCACAGCACTGAGACAGCATTATTGAAAGTGTTAAGTGATATTTTCCTGGCCTTAGACAAAGGAGATGATGTTGTTTTGGTGTTGCTTGATTTGAGTGCAGCTTTTGACATGATCGACCATAACATCCTCATCTCCCGTCTTGAACATTCAGTAGGGCTAAAGGGTACAGTCCTGAAATGGTTTCAGTCCTATTTGAGCAATAGATGTTTTTCAGTTAATTATAATGAACAACTACTCTCATTTCTAAGCAAAAATTCTATAGGAGAAAGGTTTCAATCGGGGTTCAAAACAGCCCACAGCACTGAGACAGCATTATTGAAAGTGTTAAGTGATATTTTCCTGGCCTTAGACAAAGGAGATGATGTTGTTTTGGTGTTGCTTGATTTGAGTGCAGCTTTTGACATGATCGACCATAACATCCTTATCTCCCATCTTGAACATTTAGTAGGGCTAAAGGGTACA